GGATGGGGATAAATGGGGATAATACCATAAATAAATAAATAAATGGATAAACCTTATAAGGAGGTATTGTATCTTTAAAGTGATAATCCAGTTTCTCCACAGAGTAAAAGGAATCAGTACAAATAGCATGAATGCTATTTTTTAAATCACAGCCTATAAAAACATTTTGCCACTAATGCCGAAGCCATGGTTATTTTCTTGCTGGGGACATGCTGCTATCCGTGTGTATTGCTGTCACAAAAATAGTTGCCACTGTTGTAGCTCTACCATCACAAAAGTAGCTTTTTTACTAGCATGCTGTACAGATAGAAAGTGAAATAAGATGACAAACACACATTTTCCAGAAATGATCAGGGAAAGGCCAAACCAATAAATTATCGGTATGCCAATAGGTTAACAACATATACTTCGATGGAAGTGACACTTGAAGTGGACTTACTTTTTTGTTGCAGTTTTAAAACACCTTGATTAAAATGCAACCATTCTGGGAACAGTTATATAGCAGACTCTTCATCCGTAAAGAAAACTATTTTAAAAGTAGTTTCTATTGGAGAGGCAAGCGGAAAGGATTTTATGTATTCAGGCTTCCGTATTATTTTGGCTCTGTCAGTTTGGAGTTCATTTCCTGAACATTTCTACCTTAATGCCTAATGCTGTTGAGTCTTCTGGATTCTTGCCTGAACTCCTGAGTTCAGCTCCATCTTGTGCCATATTGGTGTCTTTTGTGAGTTTAAGAACAACCTCAGGCCAGGCCTCCTTAGCTTTACAAGGATATCTGAATGAGTTTGTGCATGGTATGTAGACATTGCCTGAATCTTTGTGATCATCAGCCCATGATCTGTAAAATAATGATGCTTCATTGCTTCACACACCTCCCTAGTTCACAGAGACGCCTGAAGAAAAACATTGAAGAACCCGTGACTGCCCTCAATTTTAGCATTTATTTAACCTTTTTCCTAGGTCAGTCTTCTGTTATGTGATCATACTTGTATCTTGATCTTCTATATATCATCAATTAAAATAACTGCCAGGAAATAAAACTAGATAGGTTTAATACTTATTCCAGTGCTCAAGTTTTCCTTTTTTTCTTGTTTTTGTTGAGATTTTGATCCTTTTGTGATGTTGATGTATAACCCAGCCTGTGTGCTGCCTGAAGATAAGCGTGATCTAACGCCATCAAAAGACACAGGCAATCAATTTGAAGTTGGTGCTTAACATCTCTTCCGACAGGATATACCTTATACATTACAGCTTCGTATTTCATAGACAGATTTTGCCTTTGGGGATGCAGTAATGTTCAGAAGCTTCTACTGACTTCAGCCCCTGCTGTGCTGGAGTCCCTCATGCTTCAGTGCAGACAGGCCACATCCTAAAGGGCTTATCATCTACAAACACACAAAATAGGAAGAGTCCAAGAGAAAGGAAGCAGAGCTACTGCTTGTTCCGTCAATATGTAATTGGGGTATGGAGATTCAGCGACCTGCCCAAAATCACACAGGAAGTCTCAGGGAAAGCCAAGAATTAAACTTGTGTCTTGAGTTTCAATCCAGTCCTTAAATACAAAAGCATTCTTCCTGCAGCCTGTAAGCAGGCAGAGCTCTGGTTTAGTTCAGTGTGAGTTACATAGGTCTAATGACTTGCAAAGGTATTCTTAAATTATATGTATCTTTGTTCTTTCCATCAGCCTCACAGAACACATTTCATTTTTTTTGAAATAAGAGATACAGAGAAAGATCTGCCTTTTTGCTCAGAGTCTTAGTGTTCATCTGACCTTTTGCAAAGTTCCTATTTCTCTGTTATGTAATTACGCTGGCATACTCCTCCTGCTTGTATCCTCCTGAGTAATATGGTTTACTGATGTTCTTTCCAGTATTTTATTTTTAGAATGTAACTTAAAATTTGCTACTTGGAGCTAATTAAACTTCCGTTTGTTAATTTTCTTTGTCTTCTTTCATGTGATTTTAGTGTAAAGAATGAGATTTCATGTGACTTTAGCGTAGAGAATGAGATTCTCTACTAGAAAATCTAGTAGAGAATGAGATACTCTACTAGTGTAGAGATTTTAGTGTAGAGAATGAGTGAAGCGGGACAAAAGGTGTCTTCAAATATGTAAAAACAGTTGTG